TTCTCAATTATGAATTACACTGTTAGTGTAGAATCTACACTGCAGGAAACCTAATGTCTTCTCGAAAGCAAATTCCAACACCTCAATGCAGTAAAATTCAATAACCTGAAGGTCCTAGTTCACTAAAGAATTAGTGTGGACTACATTTGCAAATGCATAGAAATTATATTTAGTAAACCCCTGGAATAAGGCCTCTAAATTCTTTCACATTAATCTGCCTGATCGCTTTGGAGCCCAGCACTGACACCAATCCCACTGATCATATTGTGTAGAAATAGGCAGAAGGAGGCCATAATGCCAGCGCTGAAGAACAGGGTCAGCATCTCAGACGTACTGGGATACAGTATACAACATACATAAGGAAGGACACCGCCTCGCTGCAGCAAAGACAACTCTATCTCAGCCCCAAATTTCAACTCACCGTGAGACAGTTCTATCTAAACATCACCAAACCTTTTACTCCAAACCAACAGTCCTAACCCTTATTTTCAAAAATAACACCAACATTTCCCCAGTCACTCAAATTCAAAGCTGTAGAGTGATTATTAAAAGCATGAAGGGAGTCAGAATCCTTTAAATCCTTACCTTGTAGTACCTGTCACATTCAGTCTTTTCCATTCCTATCCCCATCATCCCAGTTCAAGGATTATTCCTTAAACCCAAGTTTCTCAGCAGGGACTTCTTGATGTCCCACAGCCAAATTCAAACTCCAAAGCATTATTTTGAACAAGTCATCCAAGCCTTGAAAAAAAAAATCTACAGATTTCGCAGTGCAGCCAACACAAGCCTGTCCTCATGAGCTTGGATAAGCACCAAGCACTTCGACGAGAAGTTTCTGGACATTACGGCTCAGGACCAAGGATTCTGAATCTCCAGAAGTTTCCCATATTTGCTGCTTTTTGTCATCTCTTCTTTCCCCATGGTGATCAAATCTTTGAAAAGAAAAGGCCTTATAGCTCGTTTTCATGGAGCAGGTGGACTACTTCCTACACCACAGCCAGGCCTTGAAGGGGAAGGAATCCCAAGAAATAGAACAAGTGAAAGCAACTTTAAAAAGATAAAAAGGAAAGCACACAAACTCCCTGGCTCTGTGACTACGTGGGGAAGAAGGCTGAGATGGTAAGCCCAGGTGAGTTTTAATCATGAAAGAGGACCATGAAGACATCAGGACGAAATCCAAATATCTTACTCTACACTTAAGAAATGTCCATCTTATCTCAATTTAAAAAAAAATTATTTCATTTTAACTAGTTATCTAATGGGTAGGGGAAAATATATACATAAAAGGAAAATTAAACATAAGCAAGCTATACCAAGAGCATGAAACAAGGACTACAAGATTTCAGAGGAGGAACCTGAAAAAGCAGGAAGGTAGGCAACTAAGTCAGGATTTTGAACTGTATCTTGGAGTGTTCAGGCAGTAAGTGAACCAGTCTGGCCAAAGCAGAGAACACAGAGAGATCAAAGATGTGAGATGGAGTGTATATGTGGCACAGTTCTAGTCCACTGTTCATATGCCTTTTCTTCCTCTCTCTGTCTCGACAGTCATGTCAGTTCAGAGGCCAGGGACCACCATAATTTGTTAACCTATTAGCTCAATGTCAATCTCATCCCAAGAACTCAGAATAGTCTTACTCTGTCTAATCTCAGAATAGCATAACATTGAGGTGCGCTCTGAATTCAGGTTTTTTTTGAATACTTGTATTAAAAACAGCAAAACTTTCATAAAAGTCAAGAAATAAGGATCCATCAGTCAAAACAAGAATTTTTAAGCACCCAGACACACTTAATAAAATAAAAAAGTCTGTAACTGCTGACATCCTTTAAAGGAGGAGGCAAAAGAATGGAAAGTCTGATGAAGTGATAAGCAGTTTTAAAACAGGTTTACAGTCAGTTTTTAAACAGTAATCCCTCTGGGAAATGAAAATTCCTCCCTTTAATCCCTTTGAGGTCAATATAATATTTGAATCAGGAACAAGACTACCTAAGTTGAAATGCGAACCTTTTACAGTATCCTCCACATTAAATACCAAGTAGAGGAGAGAATTTCTAACCTATCAAAAAGAGAGGCAGCCAGTATTTTGGATTTATAATCTATCTTTGCTAAACATATATGCAGAAGCTTCGGGGAAACGAAACTAGGGAACTTCAAGGTTTTAGTTGGCAGTGATTACTTCACTGGAGCTTATTCCTGTGAAATGAAACTACCAGAACCCCTCAATATCAATTTGTTTGTCACTAAACCACAGGTTTATGCTTTATCTTGGAAATGCTAACAGGGTGGAACTATGAGCCTTTTATTAAAACGAGATGACCATGGAGAGCGCCCTTGAAGCTTAGCAACAGAGGACTCAACCCCAAAAGGTTCCCTTCTGGAAAGTAAGGACAGGTTTGATATGTACCCCAGGGCCAATACTAAAATGCTTGACTATATTTTCCATAAAAGGTGGAAGTTGTAATAGTAGCATATAGCAGACACCAGCCCACTAGAAGCAGATGGAACCCACCAACTCATTTTACCCAAACCTTCAAAAAGGTACACAGAACTGTCTCTGCTTGCCAAAGCAGGGCAAATCTGAATGGGTGGATCTAAGAAAAGGTTTTGCCAGGGATTACTAATGGCAATTTTTTTTGCCTAAGATAGCCCCCAATGTAAAACAGGATTAAAAAATGAAAGGCAATTTTAAAGCTCACTCTCCATATTCAAGCTAAACACACACACAAACAAGGCCTCAAAGCTTTATTTTACCAAAAACAAAACAAACAAACAAACAAAAACCAACAACTCTGTAACGATTCCAGCACAAGGCTCTTCCAGAAGGGAAATCTGGCTGGAAACATTCCCTGCTTATGTACATAATTCACCAGGGGTCAGGTAAGATTCCATTTTGTAACAGCTGAACTTTAAACAGAAAGTCATTAGTGGGGCAACATTCACTCATTAGCATAAAGTTACCCCCTAGAAAGAAAAGCATTGCCTGTCTCTGCCAGATGACAACTTTACAGTGAGAAACTAGGGCCAAGGACCATGAACTCCTAGAAAGTTCTATCCGCCTCAGAAGAAGAGCTCACCATCTCCACCAGCCTAAACTTAACTGTCTCCACATTCTTCACTCCCCACAGAGGAAGGCATCGATAACAGGGAATTTTAAAAAATAAGAAATAAAAAGAAGAGCCAAACGGTCAATAGCAGGCAAAGCTTTTCAGGGCTGACATGATTCCTGTTTGGGATTGGGGGAGGGGGAGGAGCTTTTCTGGATGTTTCTATTCTTGGCAAGGAAAGCACCTCCAGGTCCTGTACCGTCAAAAGGCACTAACCTAGGAATGTTCTCAGGGAATGAATGATTTGCCTGTGCTAAGCGACTTCATTTTGGGGTGTGATGATGGGAAGCAAGGTGGGGAGGGCTAGAGAGCTGAAGGGGGGTGTAGGGGGAAGATGTGTTTGACCGGGGAATGGGAGGAACGAGTGGATGGATAAGAGGGGTCCAGGAAAGATGCAGACGGTTAAGAGGGAGGATGTGGATGACTAAGGGAGGTGAGGGGAAGCTGTGGATGGCCTACGGGATGTCCAGAAAAGGCGTGGAGCTGAGGGGGAGGGGGGTAAGGTGTGGACCGCCAAGGAAGATTGGGGGAAGGTGTGGATGGTGGAGGGATGGAAGGATGGCCATCAGTCCCCTGAGGACCAACAACGAAGGGAGGCCAGGGGCTGGCCTCACCCAGGCTCCCCCCAAATTCCCCTTCTGTGGGCGTGTGCTCGGCTGCGCGTGTGCAAGGGCCAGGCCACCAGGCCGCAGGGCCACCACTCACCCCACGACTCCCTGGTTGTAGTTCCTCCGCTTCCACGGGGTCCCGCTGTACACTCCCCCGCTGCCGTCGACCCGACCGCCCCCCGCGGCCCGCCCTCCGCTGGGCTGCAGCAGGCTGTAGTTGAGTCCGTAGGTGCTGGCCTTGTTGTCGCGCTTCCTCTTATTGCTGCTGCCCGAGGCCGGGTCGGCGGGCTCCGGGGCGGGGACGGCCGCCGAGGGGTGCGGGGACGAGGACGCCGAGGGGGACGG